CTTGCCTGGCAAGCTCAAGATCCTGCGTTCAATCCATGGTACCACACACACACACAAAAATAAATAAATAAATAAATATAAACTTTAAAAAATTAAAGGGAAGATGGTTGTACAGGTTCTTTCCATCCTTCTAGTAACCATATGAGGAATAGACTGGTTTCTTTTTTCTTTTTTTTTTTTTTTTCAGAACCGGAGTTTGAACTCATGCCTTTGAGCTTGCCAGGGAAGCACTTATTATACTGAGCCATCTCCCCGGCCCCAGGAATGGACTGTTACTAATCCCGTTTTACAGATAAGGAAATGGAAGCCCTGAACAGTGACTAACTTATCCAAGGTCATGAGGCTCAACAATGCTAGTTTGGTCTTTTTTGATTAATTAATTAATTATTTATTTGGTACAGGGTCTCACTATGCAGCTCAAACTCTAGTGATTTTCACATATCTCGGCCTACCCCAGGCTGCAACAGCAAGGCATGTGGTACTGCGGATCAAGCTCGGGTCCTTGAGCTTGCCAGGCGGGTGCTTTGACCGCCGGGCTATCTCCCTAGCCCTAGTTTGGCTTTGGTTAGCTTCAGAGCCTAGCTCTAAATCAACATTAAAGTAACAATGATTCGCCAGTGATGAAGTCTACCCTCATAGACAAGTCTGCCCTGTGCGAGCTTCTCTTAGTGCCTAGCCAGCAACCAGACCACATGCCAATAGCTTTTTAAACCAATCAGCATTCAGGAAGGGGGCGGGCCTAGGGGACTTCACAGCCAATTGGTGGGCAGATGGTGCCAAAGTTGAGGTTGGGCAACACAGAGCTTCAACCGGCACCTTGGCGGCCTCGCGCCTCTGTTTAGAACGTGCGAGTCGAGGGGCGTGGCAGGGGCATGCGCATGCGTGTAGGACACATGCGTGTAGTGCGCATGCGTATGACACACCTGCCTCCTGGAAGAGCGCAGAGTATCTTCGAGGCTAGCGTCGTCGAGAAGAAGCCATCGCTTTCCACAGCCACGTGGTGTAAGTGAATGTGGCAGGTTTTTTGGGACTGAAGAGGCAAAGGTACTGTGTTCCCACCAACCATGCCTCATCCTTTGGCTCAGCCCTGCTGCCCTGCCGCAACTGCCCTAGCCTGTCTCCTACTGCGGGCCTCCCCTCATGGCCAGTCCCTTATCCTTCATAGTTCTGTCATTTCTACCCTCCCAAAGTTTTCTCAGGCTGTCAGTTTCTCTCGCTGCTCTTTTTCTACCATCTCTTCTCTTTCTGTGATCTTCTTGTACTTGCCTTACTCCTGGTTTTCTCCTATGTCTAAAGCCCTATTCTGGTCCCCTATGTCACTTGAATCCCATGATTTGTTTCCATCCTCCATCTTTTGACAATTTGCCCACTTCCCTATTTCTAGTTCTCTAGTTTAGTATTCAGTATTACAACCAATAAAGTAAATAAATAAATATTTTAGGTTAGTTTTTTGTCTTAAATATTTTTATTTTAATTAATTAATTATTTTTTGGAACCGGGGATTGAACTGTCTTAAATATTTTTAAAAATTGTGTTTCCACCTCATTTCAACCATCTCTACTCATTTTGCTAGTGACTTGATTAATCTAAATCTGATCACCCCTGTCCCTTTTTCTTCCAGGACACCATGGACCCCCGGGATCCAGCCCGTCAGCCTTTCCAGCAGTCGGAGAAACCTGGCCGTGTGCGTCGTCGGAAGACCAGGAGGGAGCGGAATGAAGCCCTGGTGGGCAGCCGCCGGCCAGTAGCCCATCAGGATCCTCCTGTGTCCCGTCAGGATCCCCCTGTTGCCCTCCAGGATCCTGTGGTCCCTGCTGCCTCCAAGCTTGTGGTCATAACCCAGGGCCGGCTGAGCCGGGAGCACCGGGGTCTTTTCAACCATGAGGTGAAATCTCTGGATGTGGCCCGGCTGCTTGACAGTGGGTCCTTGGAGCCAAGCACTCCCCTGCTCCGCACTAAGCCTTCCTCCAGCCCACCTGGGATTCAAGAGCCCGTCTCACAGTCAAAGGGCAAGGAGAACCAGGCACCTGGGGGCTCGGGCCCAGGCCCTCCTAATTCTCCAGAAGTCTGTAGCTTGGGACAACTTCTGGGGGAGCTACAGTGCCAGCTGACTTTGCCACAGGCCTTCCCCAGGAGGAACTTGGTGCAGGAAGCCAGGGATGCCATCGTGGGAACCTTGCAGGCCCTCCATGGCTGTGTGCCTGATCTTGCCTTGGTGCTCCAAGGCTGCCAGTTACCTTTGCCAGGTGAGCCCACCTCCTTCCCCATTTTCCCCCTCTTTTCTCTAACCCACATGTCCCCCATGCTTTTTTTTTTTCTTTTCTGTGTGCCAGGAACCAAACCTGAGGTTCATGAGAGACAAAGAATGACACCCTCCTGGATCAACAGACCTGAACAGACCCCAAGAGAAGGGAGACAGAGAAGGCAACAGGGCACAAAGGACAGCTTTACCATGCCTCATACATCCAGTGCTCCTGTGGCACACAGGATGAGCCTGGCGCCACCAAGAGGTCCTTGGCCACCCTCCTTGTCCTTGTTGCCTTCACCTTCTGGGGCAGGTTGGGGCCCCCCAACAGCCTTTGACCTACTAAAAAGCATCTGGCTTGTAGATACACCACCTGCTCCCCATCATTGGTGTGTCGGCCCACCTCAGCCCCTGCCTCAGCCATCACCTTTGTTGCCCCACACTTCTGACCTGGACTGGAGCCCCGACTCCCCTGCCCCACTGCCCAGTCTCTCTTGGGTAGTCACTCAGAGCAGTCCAGAAGCCTGGTCCTTTCCACCCATGAGACTGTACTGAGGGGGCTGAGGTTAAGTCTGGGGCAGGGTAACCTCATACCCAGTCACCTCAATAAAGTTCCTTCTTTTTGGTCCTCTTGATTTTTTAGTGAGTGGCTGATCCAGCAAAGTAACTTTCATTTGCTCTGAGTTCCAGGACCAAGATGAAGGAGAAAACACTGTTATGTGTTACTTTCCTGAGGCCAGAGGGCCCAACAGGATATTGAAACTTGGAGCCTCAGTTAGTCTAACACATAACACCCACTTTGCCATTCAGGTGGTGGGTGTTTGGCTCTAAACTCTAGCCATCCAGGGCCCCAGAATGGGTGAGCCCAGAGCCCCCAGGAGACACCCAGTTCAGTGGTAGGGGAGTCCCAGGTCCCAGCTGCATCTGAGCAGGAAACACAGGAACTGGGAGCTCAAGGAAAAAGATCTGATTTCATAGAAGAGCTAACACAACCTCCTTAGTTTTGAAGCTTGGTAGCACATTTATAGCAAGAGCACATGGCAATGCCTGGAGGATGGTAGAGGTGGAGAGTATCTTTTTTGTGGTACTGGGGATTGAACTCAGGACCTACTGCTTGACAGGCAGGTGGGTGCTTATGCTGCTGAGCTATGTCCCCAGAAGAATTACCTTTTTTTTTTTTTTTTTTTTAGCTCCTATCCTTAGATCATGCTGAAACCTAGTCAGTCACATTTGGCCTCTCCTTGAGGAGCTCCTTGTCTGGGATCACAGGGTAAATTATATGATTGAGGTACTAGTGGCAGATCAGAGCTGAATCTGGCCCACAAACTTTTTCTCCCACCCAAAATATTCATTTATTTATTATAATATTTATTAATTTTATTTTAAAATTTTAATAATATTTTATAATATTATTTATTCATTTTATTTTATTTTTGTCTTAGGGCTCACTATGCAGTTCATGCTGGCCTTCAACTCACTTTGTAGCCCAGGCTGACCTCGAACTCACAGCAATCCTCCTGAATCAGCCTCCTGAGTGCTGGGATTGCAGGCAGTATGCTGTGACACTTGGCTTCAGAATACCATTTTAAAGCCAGGAGTGGTTTTATACCACCTGTAATCCCAGCACTCTTGAGAGACTGACGCAGGAGGATCAGTTGAACCCAGGAGTTTGAGAACAGTCTGGGCAAAGTAGTGAGTCCTTACTTCAAAGTATATCAACAAGTTTTTTTTTTTTTAAAGCTTTCATTAATTTTTCAACAAGTTTTTTCTTTTGGGGGGAAGGGTCCAGAGGGTGTTCAGGGTCTCACTACTAGATCGGACTTGTAATGATTGGCCAGTTTACAGCCTCTCAAGAGCTGGGATTATAGGCATGCACCACCATGCCCAGTCTCAATTGCCATTTTAGCATCCCTAGGGGTGGGTCTGCAGCAGATCCGGGGATCAAACCCCCAGCTCCTGCACTTGCTCGCAGGTGCTTTAATCGGCTGAGCTATTTTGGTCAGTCCTAACAAGCCTTTAAAATAATAAAAATAGGGCCTGGGAGATAGTTCAGTGGTCTAAGTGCCTGCCTGGCAAGTGCAAAGACCCGAGTTTGATCCTGGGTACCACATGGTGTACTGGTCCCAAAACTGGCATGGTTATGCACATCTGTAATCCCAGGGCTGGGGAGGCTGA